GCCTTGGTGTTGAAATACAGAAGAGAAAGCTGACCATGGTTGGAACAATCAGAAAAAACAAACCTGAACTTCCCAGTGAGCTTCTGAAAATGCAGGGCAGAACTGTGCATTCCTCTAAATTTGCTTTCTCTGAAAATGCAACTGTTGTTTCATACTGCCCAAAGAAGAACAAGAATGTTCTTGTAATGAGCACAATGCACAAAGATGCATCGCTGAGTGCAAGAGAGGACATCAAGCCACAAATAATACTGGACTACAATTCCACCAAAGGAGGAGTTGACAATTTGGATAAAGTCACAGCAACATATAGTTGTCAGCGCATGACTGCCCGCTGGCCTTTGGTGATTTTCTACAACATTGTGGATGTGTCTGCTTACAATGCCTATGTCCTGTGGACTGAAATCAACCAGCAATGGAATGGTGGCAAATTGTACCGACGCCGGCTTTTCCTAGAGGAGCTCGGCAAAGCTCTCATCACTCCCAAGATCCAGAGGAGAGTCCGGCCTCCTCGGTCGACAGCAGCTGCATCTGCCGTCCAGAAAATTCAAGCTGGACCATCAACACATGCCTCCAATCAACCAGAAATGGATCCAGTGGATACAGGCAGTGGCAAGAAACGGAAAAGATGCCAGCTCTGCCCCCCTCGACAAGACAGTAAAACAAGCACCACTTGTGTAGAATGCAATAAATACATCTGCAGAAAGCACACACACACATTGTGTTCAACATGTAGAGAGAAAGACTGAAGGGATAATATGGACCAATAGGGGGGGAAAAAACCTACTTGGGGAAACTGAAAAATCTTGTTTGTGAGAAAGGAAATATGTTTAACAAATAGTTCTTAAATATTGTTTAAAAAAAATAAAAAGTATTGTATTTCTTCTTTCTGAAATGTCTGATAAGACAAAATAAAGTTGTTTCTGTTTTTACTTAATTCTTTGACTGTCTTGAGTGTGTTTAAACTGTGCGGGTCAATTTGACCCGTAACATAATGGATGTCATTTTTTTCCAGCAAAGCACAAGGGTTAACCAAGAACGTTATGGTGAAAGTAACACAACATTTATGTACAGTTCAGTGTGTCTGAGTGCATCTCCGGTGCAGAGAACTGTAGCTACAGGTTGTTACACCAGATGTGATTTACCCAAAGATTTGCCGACATCTTGTCTATTTCAATTCTTCTCTCATTGATGGAGACAGGTGGGTGTCCACGTCATGATGACAGAGACCTATCTTGATATAGACAAGATGGCAGTGTAAACATTGTTGGATTACTTCATGGCGCAAACATTTTTTTTTTTTAAATAACGGAGCATTTTCTAAATTCAAACTGATCCCCTTATGAGACTCCTGTTTCCCCGAATCGAGGACTAAGGTTGGTCGAAAATTCTCCGTGCTACACCAAACAGTACCTATCCTGTAACTTCCAGCAATGGATACCAACATTATTTGGTTAAATCACATTAACAAATGTAACAATCTGTAACTAAGAAAAAAAACTGGTGGTCATGATGAAATTGCCATTCACAAAGAAACATACAGTATTGATCAGTGTGAGTAAAGTTCAGGGAATACTTGTAAAGCTATGGTAGTGTTGTCATGATCAAACTGCCATTCAGCTCCTCGTCTGCTTGAAATCCAGCATAATGTCTAATCCCGCGAGAAGATATACAGTTCATGGGATACAGTTCTGCTACAATGACGCGCAGGCAAAGGAATTCTGTTTCTGCATCTAGAATCCACTCCAGGAGGAAGGCCAGGCACCATGGTATTGTCTGTAAGACACAAATAAAATAAAAAAAACATTACTGTTGTAGTTTGAATGACAGTTTAATGTGCCAGCATAACATCAATATTAGGGTAGACTACTTGACCATGCATGTGCAGGCACATAGATAACATTTATCACCAATATCTGGCCTAATAAAAATAAAATGTGGCATAACTCATCTTTTGCAGTGACCAGACCGTACAAATGTACCTAGGTAGGCAGACATGGCTGGCATGCTTAGGCAAATATTTTTTTTATAGTAAAGCCAGCTTCAGTTTTAAGATATTCACAACAATAAATGGTATTATTGTTTCTCCTCACTGTTTCCTAGTAAACTTAGCTAGCTTACTGGATATACAATACTGTTTGGAATCCTATCATTTTGTGCGATTGGTAATGATTATTACCGTGGATGCATTTCAATGTCAACTCGTCAATTACGTTACATAGCTAGCTAGTAAAATTATTAAGTTGCCGATGTTACAAACGCGAGGCTTGGCGCATAACACATTTAGCAGGCGCCAGGCTAACTAGCTACCCAATTCCAGTCGTGCTAATGTTTGCTGGTTAACCTAGCTTTAGTTGGCTTGTTGTAATGTTGTAGCTTGGTGTTTAGTAGCCATATCTACGATACAAAAGATCTGATTGTAAAACCTTTTCTATTTTTAGTTATAGATATGGCTACCGGTAGTTGTTTAGCTAACTTCGCTACCTACGTTAGCAAACAGAAACATAATTACATTTCCCCCCCACCGTAACATAGTAGTATGTTAACCAGCAATACACACTATGGTTTTCAGTAGATAAACTAAAGTTAGCTAGCTAGCTAGGTGGCTTGCAGGAAAAATAACTTACTTAGCTAGGCACCGTATTTGTCATCTGCCCTCTTGGTGCATCGGCTGTAGCTGATCTTCTAACGTTAGCTAAATCCAACTCTTTGTTTTTCCAATCCTCTTCGCTATATTCCCGGTTGAAACATGTATGGTTGAATGTCACCGTGTAGCTAATAGAACATTTTTTTTTTAAATGCTCCATGGTCGAATTTGTGTTGATGAGTGGAATCACTTGAAGCCATTGTGGTCTGGTCAGTTCTTTCAGTTTTTCCCCAAAGGATTGTGTTGTTAGCGTCCACCTCCTTTTCATTAAAAAAAAGCCCGCCTTGGCGGAGGGACGGGGGCCAGAGCACCAAGCACCGGCCAACACAAGCTGTAGTCTTTCAGACACTGGAAAATGTTTTGTCTGCTTGTATATTTAGCAATGAATCCGCAGATAGGAACATCGCTGGAAGACGCACGATGGCTAAATCGAACAAGGACAACCATATCTACACCCACAAAAACGTTTAGTGTGATCAGTATCACAAAGCCTTTGCGAAATGCCACAAAAGCAGGACTACATTTATTTTTAGAGCTTTCTCTCCCCCCATCAATACACCGGAAGCCGTCATAGGGTGTATCCTTCAGCGTGCCAATCCCAGACCTGCCTTCCTCCTGGGCAATTACATGTGAAACACATCTCACTGTCCTAGAAATGCCTCGAGACATGATGATAACAAGCCCAGATTCCCCTAGGGTGAAATTGCACTTTAACTAGTTATATCATACTGTATATACACTGAGTATACCAAACATTAGGAACACCTTCCTAAACATGGGATGCTGGCCCATGTTGGCTCCAATGCTTCCCACAGTTGTGTCAAGGTGGTTGGATGTCCTTGGGTTGGTGGACCATTCTTGATACACGTGTGAAAAACCCAGCAGCGTTGCAGTTCTTGACACAAAAATATACTAGTTAACTAATTATACACTGTATGAGTTAACTAATTATATCATACTGTATATGTTTAGCATCTGCTAAATGGCATATTATATTATATGTCAACTAATTATATCCTACTGTATATACTTGAGCTAACTAATTATATCCTACTGTAAATACTAGAGCTAACTAATTATATGCTACTGTAAATACTAGAGCTAACTAATTATATCCTACTGTAAATAGAGCTAACTAATTATATCCTACTGTAATACTTGAGCTAACTAATTATACTACTGTAATACTAGCTAACTAATTATATCCTACTGTAAATACTATGACGCTAACTAATTATATCCTACTGTAATACTTGAGCTAACTAATTATATCCTACTGTAAATACTAGAGCTAACTAATTATATCCTACTGTAAATACTTGAGCTAACTAATTATATCCTACTGTATATACTTGAGCTAACTAATTATATCCTACTGTAAATACTAGAGCTAACTAATTATATCCTACTGTAAATACTTGAGCTAACTAATTATATCCTACTGTAAATACTTGAGCTAACTAATTATACCTACTGTAAATACTAGAGCTAACTAATTATATCCTACTGTAAATACTTGAGCTAACTAATTATATCCTACTGTAATACTTGAGCTAACTAATTATATCCTACTGTAAATACTTGAGCTAACTAATTATATCCTACTGTATATACTTGAGCTAACTAATTATATCCTACTGTAAATACTTGAGCTAACTAATTATATCCTACTGTAAATACTTGAGCTAACTAATTATATCCTACTGTAAATACTAGAGCTAACTAATTATACCATACTGTAAATACTAGAGCTAACTAATTATATCATACTGTATATACTTGAGCTAACTAATTATATCATACTGTAAATACTAGAGCTAACTAATTATATCATACTGTATATAGTTAGTGGCAATATGTAATTTCAAAGTTTAAGAAGCGGTAGATGTGTTCTATTTCTGTGTGTTCTATTTCTGTGTGTTCTATTTCTGTGTGTTCTATTTCTGTGTGTTCTATTTCTGTGTGTTCTATTTCCGTGTGTTCTATTTCCGTGTGTTCTATTTCCGTGTGTTCTATTTCCGTGTGTTCTATTTCTGTGTGTTCTATTTCTGTGCTTCCCGTTCTTAAGTTTTGTTTTTGCGTCTTTTACTTTTGGTTTTGTACACCAGCTTCAAAACAGCTGAAACAACATTTTTGTTTATGGAAAATATATCTCACAGTGGTTTAGATGGTACAATGATTCTCTACACCTACACTAGCTTATTTCTGTCACAAACTGAACATTAGGCGAACTATGAATTTTAGCAACCAGGAAAATGGTGGAGTGATTTCTGCACAGTGCAACTTTTAACTAATTATATCATGCTGTAATATAGAGTTAATTAAATAAAGAAATGAGTTGCTGATGTTCTTACTTTTCAGCAGTAGACTTCTTGGTTTGGTTCAGTTCCTTTGAGTCCTCCAGCAGAGCATCTTTCTCCATCAGTATGGTGATGGGCTGGCCTTTGATGGTCAGGCTCGTACAGCTAGCCAGCTTCTTAGCATCCTCCTCCCTCTCAAACAACACTGACGCCTGGAGAGAGGGGGATGGAGGGAGGACAAACGGAGAGAGAGCTACATTTATTAAGACAAAAAATATGAAGTGCGATGAAGAGAAGGAGTGGGGGGGAGAAAGGAAAATAGATGTATTTGTGGCGTCAATGCATTTAGAGATGTATTTGTGGCGTCTATGCATTTAGAGATGTATTTGTGGCGTCTATGCATTTAGAGATGTATTTGTGGATGATTAGTTGTGTGTAAGTTGAATGCACCAATTTGTAAGTCGCTCTGGATAACAGCGTCTGCTAAATGACTTAAATGTCTATGCATTTAGAGATGACGGGGCACAGCTACTGGGGGTCATCAGCAAGTGGAAAGACTGGTGTTTGTAAATACCTGGTGTATGGCCTTGAGTAAAATGAAAAATCAGGACATTGAACTATAAGAAAGATGGGGGTTTCGGGGGGGACTCAGGTTATATGGAATACCTGCTGTATGGGCTTGAGCTGGATGACGTTGTTGATCTTTCCGAAGGGTTCTACGGCCTTGACCACCTCATCATGAGCTGTGTGTTGGGGAATATTCTTCAGTCTTAACAGTGCGGAGGTCCCTGGTGCTCCCTTCTTCTTAGTCTAGAGAGAGCGAGAAAAGAGCAAGAGGAGACAGTTATTGTTAGCGAGCTGTGTGTGGGGGGGATATTCTATAGTCTCGTTAGTGAGCTGTGTGTGGGGGGGCTATTCTATAGTCTCGTTAGTGAGCTGTGTGTCGTGGGGATATTCTATAGTCTCGTTAGTGAGCTGTGTGGGGGGGATATTCTATAGTCTCGTTAGCGAGCTGTGTGTGGGGGGGATATTCTATAGTCTCGTTAGTGAGCTGTGTGTGGGGGGGATATTCTATAGTCTCGTTAGTGAGCTGTGTGTGGGGGGGATATTCTATAGTCTCATTAGTGAGCTGTGTGTCGGGGGGATATTCTATAGTCTCGTTAGTGAGCTGTGTGTGGGGGGCTATTCTATAGTCTCGTTAGTGAGCTGTGTCGGGGGGATATTCTATAGTCTCGTTAGTGAGCTGTGTGTGGGGGGATATTCTATAGTCTCGTTAGTGAGCTGTGTGGGGGGGGATATTCTATAGTCTCGTTAGCGAGCTGTGTGTGGGGGGGATATTCTATAGTCTCGTTAGTGAGCTGTGTGTCGGGGGGATATTCTATAGTCTCGTTAGTGAGCTGTGTGGGGGGGGGATATTCTATAGTCTCGTTAGTGAGCTGTGTGTCGGGGGGATATTCTATAGTCTCGTTAGTGAGCTGTGTGTGGGGGGATATTCTATAGTCTCGTTAGTGAGCTGTGTGTGGGGGGGATATTCTATAGTCTCGTTAGTGAGCTGTGTGTGGGGGGGATATTCTATAGTCTCGTTAGTGAGCTGTGTGGGGGGGATATTCTATAGTCTCGTTAGCGAGCTGTGTGTCGGGGGGATATTCTATAGTCTCGTTAGTGAGCTGTGTGGGGGGGGGATATTTATAGTCTCGTTAGTGAGCTGTGTGTCGGGGGGATATTCTATAGTCTCGTTAGTGAGCTGTGTGTGGGGGATATTCTATAGTCTCGTTAGTGAGCTGTGTGTGGGGGGATATTCTATAGTCTCGTTAGTGAGCTGTGTGTGGGGGGGATATTCTATAGTCTCGTTAGTGAGCTGTGTGTGGGGGGGATATTCTATAGTCTCGTTAGTGAGCTGTGTGGGGGGATATTCTATAGTCTCGTTAGCGAGCTGTGTGTGGGGGGGATATTCTATAGTCTCGTTAGCGAGCTGTGTGTGGGGGGGATATTCTATAGTCTCGTTAGTGAGCTGTGTGTGGGGGGGATATTCTATAGTCTCATTAGTGAGCTGTGTGTCGGGGGATATTCTATAGTCTCGTTAGTGAGCTGTGTGTCGGGGGGATATTCTATAGTCTCGTTAGTGAGCTGTGTGTCGGGGGGATATTCTATAGTCTCGTTAGTGAGCTGTGTGTCGGGGGGATATTCTATAGTCTCGTTAGTGAGCTGGTGTGGGGGGGATATTCTATAGTCTCGTTAGTGAGCTGTGTGTCGGGGGGGATATTCTATAGTCTCGTTAGTGAGCTGTGTGGGGGGCTATTCTATAGTCTCGTTAGTGAGCTGTGTGTGGGGGGATATTCTATAGTCTCGTTAGTGAGCTGTGTGTCGGGGGGATATTCTATAGTCTCGTTAGTGAGCTGTGTGTGGGGGGATATTCTATAGTCTCGTTAGCGAGCTGTGTGTCGGGGGGATATTCTATAGTCTCGTTAGTGAGCTGTGTGTCGGGGGGATATTCTATAGTCTCGTTAGTGAGCTGTGTGTGGGGGGGATATTCTATAGTCTCGTTAGTGAGCTGTGTGTCGGGGGGATATTCTATAGTCTCGTTAGTGAGCTGTGTGTGGGGGGCTATTCTATAGTCTCGTTAGTGAGCTGTGTGGGGGGATATTCTATAGTCTCGTTAGTGAGCTGTGTGTCGGGGGATATTCTATAGTCTCGTTAGTGAGCTGTGTGTGGGGGGGATATTCTATAGTCTCATTAGTGAGTTGTGTGTGGGGGGATATTCTATAGTCTCGTTAGTGAGCTGTGTGTCGGGGGGATATTCTATAGTCTCATTAGTGAGCTGTGTGTCGGGGGGATATTCTATAGTCTCGTTAGTGAGCTGTGTGGGGGGGATATTCTATAGTCTCGTTAGTGAGCTGTGTGTGGGGGGCTATTCTATAGTCTCGTTAGTGAGCTGTGTGGGGGGGATATTCTATAGTCTCGTTAGTGAGCTGTGAGTGGGGGGCTATTCTATAGTCTCGTTAGTGAGCTGTGTGGGGGGGGATATTCTATAGTCTCGTTAGTGAGCTGTGTGTGGGGGGATATTCTATAGTCTCGTTAGTGAGCTGTGTGGGGGGATATTCTATAGTCTCGTTAGTGAGCTGTGTGGGGGGGATATTCTATAGTCTCGTTAGTGAGCTGTGTGTCGGGGGGATATTCTATAGTCTCGTTAGTGAGCCGTGTGTCGGGGGGATATTCTATAGTCTCATTAGTGAGCTGTGTGTCGGGGGGATATTCTATAGTCTCGTTAGTGAGCTGTGTGTGGGGGGGGATATTCTATAGTCTCGTTAGTGAGCTGTGTGTGGGGGGGGATATTCTATAGTCTCGTTAGTGAGCTGTGTGTGGGGGGATATTCTATAGTCTCGTTAGTGAGCTGTGTGTGGGGGGGGGATATTCTATAGTCTCGTTAGTGAGCTGTGTGTGGGGGGATATTCTATAGTCTCGTTAGTGAGCTGTGTGTGGGGGGGATATTCTATAGTCTCGTTAGTGAGCTGTGTGTGGGGGGATATTCTATAGTCTCGTTAGTGAGCTGTGTGTGGGGGGCTATTCTATAGTCTCGTTAGTGAGCTGTGTGTGGGGGGATATTCTATAGTCTCGTTAGTGAGCTGTGTGTCGGGGGATATTCTATAGTCTCGTTAGTGAGCTGTGTGTGGGGGGGATATTCTATAGTCTCATTAGTGAGCTGTGTGTCGGGATATTCTATAGTCTCGTTAGTGAGCTGTGTGGGGGGGGGATATTCTATAGTCTCGTTAGTGAGCCGATGTCCCTGGGGCTCCCTTATTAGTCTGGGAAAATAGACATTTTGAATTGTTAGCTTTTATATGATCTCCAAATGGTTGAAGCCAAAAGAGAAAGAGGAGAGACGATGAAGAAGTTGTTTGTTGTTAGTGTTTTTATATTGTCCTTGAGTAGTCTCGGTCTGTCAAGGCTCCAAATGTCCATCAGTGTTTCTGCTGCAATCAGTTAGCTGTGCCACCACGGCAAAATAACATTTTACATATTTTTTATATTTTTATTTTTCACAAATATCTGCAGAGGTGCACTTTGAAGAAGCTGGAACATTCCACATGACTTCCTCTGCAAACAAAACGAGTAACAATCGGACAGTTGATATATTTACCTCGTCGGGTTGTTGTTGTAACGTTTTTATGGGAGAGAAATATTCCGAGGCGGCATTCAAGTCACGAGTGCCATAGGGAGGAAATTCCCATGACGGAATACAGGCCGCAAAAAGAGGCTACATTTATTTAGTAGACTACTCTAACTATTACCAGCTGCACTGGTTTACACTGTATATGGCCTGCGTATGAACGGAAGCCTGAATTAAAGTAATAACTCACTGATAATTCACTGAATTATCGAAAACAATCAGGCCTACCTGCCCTTTGTGCAGGCTGTGTATCCATCTACCGCGTTGTCCTTCCAAACTGGGGATTTGACCCGCGCAGCACCGGTTTCCACGGTGATGTTGTCGTCTATTCCCTTATCGTAATCTTTTTTATTTCTCTGGTCTCTGCATCAGCTATCCTGGGAAAGTAAACTTGGCAACGTGTTGGAGAGGGAACATAAGGTTTTTTTCCAATAGTCTATTATCTTGAAAAAGGTTCGAGAGAAGAAAAAAAAAATATATATATATATATATAAAAATCATTCCACCTGTGGGGAACCGTGGGTGTACGACCCGATGCAGGACTCTACTAATGATTGGCCCAACAGGGTACATGCAGATCGCCAACCCCCTGCTTCATCCCATTTATCTATAGCCTCTTCGCTGCACCAGTGGGGCTACAGGTGATAATGCTCATTGCTAACAGCATAGGTGATACTATGAACCATGCATAGGCTACATTCATGGTCCAATACAGAGCAGTCGCAAAGTATTCAGACCCCTTCACTTTTTCCAGATTTGTGTTACATTACAGCCTTATTCAACATTTCATTACATTTTGGGGGGGGGGGGGGTTCCCCTCATCAATCTACACACAACACCCCATAATGACAAAGCAATAACAGGTTAGACATTTTATTTAAAATAAAACTGAAATATCACATTTACGTAAGTATTCAGACCCTTTACTCAGTACTTTGTTGAAGCACCTTTGGCAATGATTACAGCCTCGAGTCTACATCATTCAGAGGCATGAGGGGAAATGCTAACAGACTTCGTCTGTGACAGACATGCCTATGCAAAATTTGTGACTGCTCAAAAGAGACACACGTTATTTTAGGCTTAACCGCATTCGGGCAGGTCAGCAGTGTCAATTATGCATGTGCTTTTAAATTTTGTCAACTGTGTGAAGTAGGTGTGGGCGGCAGGTAGCTTAGTGGTTAAGAGCGTTGTGCCAGTAACCGAAAGGTCGCCGGTTCTAATCCCCGAGCCGACGTGCCCTTGAGCAAGGCACTTAACCCTAATTGCTCCTGTAAGTCGCTCCGGATAAGAGCGTCTGCTAAATGACTAAAATGTAAAATGTAAAAAAGTAAATACACTAGGCTAAAGGCTTCCATGTACATCTGAATCACACACCTGCGGGACAGGTACAGGATTGCAACAACAACTGCCCGAGTTACACCAGGAACGCACAATCCCTCCATCAGTGCTCAGACTGTCCGCAATAGGCTGAGAGAGGCTGGACTGAAGGCTTGTAGGCCTGTTGTAAGACAGGTCATCACCGGCAACAACATCGCCTATGGGCACAAACCCACCGTCGCTGGACCAGACAGGACTGGCAAAAAGTGCTCTTCACTGACGAGTCGCGGTTTTGTCTCACCAGGGGTGATGGTCGGATTCCCGTTTATCGTCGAAGGAATGAGCGTTACACCGAGGCCTGTACTCTGGAGCGGGATCAATTTGGAGGTGGGGGGGTCCGTCATGGTCTGGGGCGGTGTGTCACAGCATCATCGGACTGAGCTTGTTGTCATTGCAGGCAATCTCAACGCTGTGCGTTACAGGGAAGACATCCTCCTCCTTCATGTGGTACCCTTCCTGCAGGCTCATCCTGACATGACCCTCCAGCATGACAATGCCACCAGCCATACAGCTCGTTCTGTGCGTGATTTCCTGCAAGACAGGAATGTCAGTGTTCAGCCATGGCCAGCAAAGAGCCCGGATCTCAATCCCATTGAGCGCGTCTGGGACCTGTTGGATTGGAGGGTGAGGGCTAGGGCCATTCCCCCCAGAAATGTCCGGGAACTTGCAGGTGCCTTGGTGGAAGAGTGGGGTAACATCTCACAGCAAGAACTGGCAAATCTGGTGCAGTCCATGAGGAGGAGATGCACTGCAGTACTTAATGCAGCTGGTGGCCAGATACTGACTGTTACTTTGATTTTGACCTCCCCCCCTTTGTTCAGGTACACATCATTCCATTTGTTAGTCACATGTCTGTGGAACTCAATATTGATCTCAGGTACATCCTGTTTCCATTGATCATCCTTGAGATGTTTCTACAACTTGATTGGCGTCCACCTGTGGTAAATTCAATTCATTGGACATGATTTGGAAAGGCACACACACATCTGTCTATATAGTTGACAGTGCACGTCAGAGCAAAAACCAAGCCATGAGGTTGAAGGAATTGTCCGTAGAGCTCCGAGACAGGACTGTGTCGAGGCACAGATCTGGGGAAGGGTACCAAAAAATGTCTGCAGCATTGAAGGTCCCCAAGAACACAGTGGCCTCCATCATTCTTAAAAGGAAGAAGTTTGGAACCACCAAGACTCTTCCTAGAAACAAGATTTTCTGGTCTGATGAAACCAAGATTGAACTCGAACTTGAAGTGTTACGTCCAGAGGAAACCTGGCACCATCACTACGGTGAAGCATGGAGGTGGTAGCGTCATGCTGTTGAGATGTTTTTCAGGCAGGGACTGGGAGTCAGGATCGAGGGAAAGATGAATAGAGCAAAGTACAGAGAGATCCTTGATGAAAACCTGCTCCAGAGCACTCAGGATCTCAGACTGGGGAGAAGGTTCACCTTCCAACAGGACAACGACCCTAAGCACACAGCCAAGACAACGCAGGAGTGACTTCGGGACCAGTCTCTGAATGTCCTTGAGTGGCCCAGCCAGAGCCCGGACTTGAACCCGATCAAACATCTCTGGAGAGACCTGAAAATAGCTGTGCAGCAACGCTCCCCATCCAACCTGACAGAGCTTGGAGGATCTGCAGAGAAGAATGGGAGAAACACCCCAAATACAGGTGTGCCAAGCTTGTAGCGTCATACCCAAGAAGACTTGAGGCTGTAATCGCTGCCAACGGCGCTTCAACAAAGTACTGAGTAAAGGGACTGAATACTGTGATATTTCCGGGTTTAAAAAAAAGAAATTGGCAAACATTTCTAAAAACCTGTTTTTGCTTTGTCATTATGGGGTATTGTGTGTAGATTAATGAGAAAAAAAAAACATTTAAGTCAATTTTAGAATAAGGCTGTAGCGTGACAAAATGTGGGAAAACTCAAGGGGTCAGAATTTTTTTTTTTTATGACTTTTGCGCCATTTCTCTGTTGTCATAATCTATATTGAGCATTTGGCTGACCAATGGGCAACGGCCGCCGCCCCCCTACCAAGATGGTCCGGCCCGGTTTTCTGATCGAATGTGAATTTGCGCCAACTCAGCCAAAGTCAAATGCACATCACCCAGTGTTGCCGTTTAGAGTACTCAGACCTCTCCAGTGACTTTTATTGGTAACAAATTTGAGCGACAAATTCAGCTACTTTTCAGGCTGCCTTTGGGGAGTTGACAAAAGGTTTATATTGTGTTGATAGCATTTTAATCGACTATTCCCAATCAATTCTGCCACAAACGAGAGCGGGAAGAAGCTGTCTGTCAACGGAAGTCAGAGCAACGGTGACGCACACAGGCAGAGAAGCACAAGGGAGGAGGTGTGCGGCGGGAGAGGGGGTGAAAACGCTACGTCGGGGACGCAGCTGTGCCGCAGGGTAGTCCGTACCATAGTTAGACCTTTACTACGACGGGTGTGCTTAAGTTATGTTAGTAGATTGTCATGTTTAGGCACAGAGCTGCCGCCCCCAGCGATGCTAATATTAAACATTCAATAATAGGAGAGTGAATGTAAGCCCTTCAGAACATCCACCACAAAGACAACATCATGACATCTCTTATGTCTTCACTATGTGGAGGGTCCTAGAGTTATTTAAAATCAGAAGAAAAAATAATTATAAATCACACAAACACATACCTTGGAAGAAGCGGAGCTGGATGATTTGGACGGCGAGGAGGACTTCCTGGTTGATGACCTTCCAGATCCTGTGCCTGCCTTGCTTCCCTTAGACGTTTCAGTCTTCCGAGAGGAGGGGCGGCCCCTCCTGCTGGCACCTCCCTTGGAGGACGTGGCACCCTTCTTCTTGGCGAGCTCTGCCAGGAGCGCAGGGGCGAGGGACTGCATCATAACTTCTAGACTGGTGTTCTCAGTCAGGGAGAGACCAGCTGGAAATACCAAGGGATGGGTTAGTGTGACTGGTGTTCTCAGTCAGGGAGAGACCAGCTGGAAATACCAAGGGATGGGTTAGTGTGTGTGTGGTCAAAGAGAGGCCAGTTAGAAGGAGAGGGGGAGACATGGGTCAGGGTGTGGTCAAAGAGAGGCCAGTTAGAAGGAGAGGGGGAGACATGGGTCAGGGTGTGGTCAAAGAGAGGCCAGTTAGAAGGAGAGGGGGAGACATGGGCATGGGTCAGGGTGTGGTCAAAGAGAGGCCAGTTAGAAGGAGAGGGGGAGACATGGGTCAGGGTGTGGTCAAAGAGAGGCCAGTTAGAAGGAGAGGGGGAGACATGGGCATGGGTGGTGGTCAAAGAGAGGCCAGTTAGAAGGAGAGGGGGAGACATGGGTCAGGGTGTGGTCAAAGAGAGGCCAGTTAGAAGGAGAGGGGGAGACATGGGGTCAGGGTGTGGTCAAAGAGAGGCCAGTTAGAAGGAGAGGGGGAGAATGGGCATGGGTCAGGGTGTGGTCAAAGAGGCCAGTTAGAAGGAGAGGGGGAGACATGGGCATGGGTCAGGGTGTGGTCAAAGAGAGGCCAGTTAGAAGGAGAGGGGAGAAGCATGGGTCAGGGTGTGGTCAAAGAGGCCAGTTAGAAGGAGAGGGGGAGACATGGGCATGGGTCAGGGTGTGGTCAAAGAGAGGCCAGTTAGAAGGAGAGGGGGAGACATGGGTCAGGGTGTGGTCAAAGAGAGGCCAGTTAGAAGGAGAGGGGGAGACATGGGCATGGGTCAGGGTGTGGTCAAGAGAGGCCAGTTAGAAGGAGAGGGGGAGACATGGGCATGGGTCAGGGTGTGGTCAAAGAGAGGCCAGTTAGAAGGAGAGGGGAGACATGGGCAGGGTCGGGTGTGGTCAAAGAGGCCAGTTAGAAGGAGAGGGGAGACATGGACATGGGTCAGGGTGTGGTCAAAGAGAGGCCAGTTAGAAGGAGAGGGGGAGACATGGGCATGGTCAGGGTGTGGTCAAAGAGAGTCCAGTTAGAAGGAGAGGGGGAGACATGGGTCAGGGTGTGGTCAAAGAGAGGCCAGTTAGAAGGAGAGGGGGAGACATGGGCATGGGTCAGGGTGTGGTCAAAGAAAGTCCAGCTGAGGTTCCTCCCCTCTGACCTTTTCCTCCAATGAGCTTTGGAAGGTGAGAGGAATCAAGGAAATACCATTGAGATTCATTGGACCTTTTCACACTGCATTATCAGCCCCTTCAGGCTAAGACTGGCCCTGGGTTCACTTTTCTGGAGTAGAATATTCAATTAGGTGACAATGGAACTCTGATTGGCCCCGAAAAGTCGTGTGCTTACCTTGCTCCAGAGCAGGGCCAGCTAGCCCTGGGTGAAGGTCGGTGCTAGCCCACTTTAGAATGTGCAAGTGTGAACACTCGCTTAGCCCCGGGCTAAGCGCAGTGTGAACACGATAATTGTTTCCCTCTCTCTCGGTCTTACCAGTGTGTGTGTGTGTGTGTGTGTGTGTGTCTCGCTCTCACCAGATGACTCCAGTAGTTTCTTGGCCAGTCTCTCAGCACTGTTAGACTTCTGCTGTCTGCTCCTCCCACCTCCTCCTGAAGGGCTGCTCCTCCTGGTCTCCCGCTCATAGCTCCTACAACGCAACCTGGATGAATTCATTCATTAGATTACTTGAATGAATTTTATTAGACATTCAAATATTCAGATATAAAATATAGACATTTAAAATCCATAGAGTAGCCTCATTCATCTGAACACAACACATTTATTTTAGATCCTTTTTAATGTCAAATAAATGTAAAAAGCACTACAACAGTCTATTGACTTGTTCTGTTGTTATCTTACCTCCGGGATGAAGAGGTTGTCCGGGGCGAGCGGGAACGCCGACGTTCTCGATCCCAGTGTGAAGAAGACGCCGGAGGGTCACGCTCCCGGCGTGAACCAGGAGACCGGGAACGGCGTGTGGTGGCGTTGTGTCTACGTTCCCGGGAGCGGGATCGTTCCCTGGATCGAGGGCGGCGAGTAGCGGAGGAGGAAGTGGTGTGGTAAGAGGAGAGGTGAGGAGAAGGAGAGCGAGACCAGGATGGAGAACGGGAGGTGGAGCGTGTTTTACGGCGTTTGGAGGACGACTGGCTGATGTCATTACTACTGGGAGCATGGCTGGAGAGAGAGGAGGAGGGGGGAGAGAGGGAGGAAAGGGGTGAGCGAGGGGAAGAGGGAGAAAGAGAAAGGGAGAGAAGGGGGGAGGAGAGGGAGAGAAGGGGGGGAGGAGAGGGCGAGAAGGGGGGGAGGAGAGGGAGAGAAAGGAAGTAGGCCTGATTAAGATATTCTGGATGATTCTGAACTATAAATTAGATCTCATTTTAAAGACTTAACCTGCTAAGCATTGAGTCAGGCGATGACCTTCATCATAGGGATGAAGTTCTCTCATCTTCTACTTTCGAACACAGTACAGGTAGTACAGGTAGGGGACTCACCCTGATATAGAGACCGTTAGTGACAGGTAGGGGACTCACCCTGATACAGAGACAGTTAGTGACAGGTAGGGGACTCACCCTGATACAGAGACAGTTAGTGACAGGTAGGGGACTCACCCTGATACAGAGACCGTTAGTGACAGGTAGGGGACTCACCCTGATACAGAGACCGTTAGTGACAGGTAGGGGACTCACCCTGATACAGAGACAGTTAGTGACAGGTAGGGGACTCACCCTGATACAGAGACAGTTAGTGACAGGTAGGGGACTCACCCTGATACAGAGACAGTTAGTGACAGGTAGGGGACTCACCCTGATACAGAGACCGTTAGTGACAGGTAGGGGACTCACCCTGATACAGAGACCGTTAGTGACAGGTAGGGGACTCACCCTGATACAGAGACCGTTAGTGACAGGTAGGGGACTCACCCTGATACAGAGACAGTTAGTGACAGGTAGGGGACTCACCCTGATACAGAGACAGTTAGTGACAGGTAGGGGACTCACCCTGATACAGAGACAGTTAGTGACAGGTAGGGGACTCACCCTGATACAGAGACAGTTAGTGACAGGTAGGGGACTCACCCTGATACAGAGACAGTTAGTGACAGGTAGGGGACTCACCCTGATACAGAGACAGTTAGTGACAGGTAGGGGACTCACCCTGATACAGAGACAGTTAGTGACAGGTAGGGACTCACCTGATACAGAGACAGTAGTGAGGGGGACTCACCCTGATACAGAGACAGTTAGTGACAGGTAGGGGACTCACCCTGATACAGAGACAGTTAGTGACAGGTAGGGGACTCACCCTGATACAGAGACAGTTAGTGACAGGTAGGGGACTCACCCTGATACAGAGACAGTTAGTGACAGGTAGGGGACTCACCCTGATACAGAGACAGTTAGTGACAGGTAGGGGACTCACCCTGATACAGAGACAGTTAGTGACAGGTAGGGGACTCACCCTGATACAGAGACAGTTAGTGACAGGTAGGGGACTCACCCTGATACAGAGACAGTTAGTGACAGGTAGGGGACTCACCTTGATACAGTGACAGTTTCCACGTTCCAGTCGGGATACCTGGAAGAAGGAAACAGTGATTAGCACAAGCTACAATGTGATGGTGATCACTGGACGTAGATTTCAATTCGTCTTTCCCCGCCTCCCATCTCCCCGCCTCCCATCTCCCCGCCTCCCATCTCCTCGCCTCCCATCTCCTCGCCTCCCATCTCCTCGCCTCCCATCTCCTCGCCTCCCATCTCAACTGTATTGGAGGAGACGATATCAAGTCCCTCCACCATTACTTTCTCCTCCAATGGGCTTTGAGGAGGAGATGAGAGGACACAAGGAATTGAAGAAAATATAAAATTGACAAAGAGCCAGGCAGAAATGATGTTAAAGAGGATAAATAACTAACGATTTCCTGAGCTGACGGCAGTTCTCGATGTGGAGGCCGGTGTTTTGATGCTCGATCCAGTTCTGTTGATCAAAACAGCAAAAGACATAGACGACAGTCAGTCTGGGTCTTCAAAATCACCACCACTTTCCCCAAACCCCTCTACATCAAGTCCTTTCAATATTCGTTTGGTTTCCCTCATTTTTTGCACCTTGCAACTAGTGAAAAGTGTGTTTTTAACACAAAGTCCATTTCTCTGCTTTCATATCAGGAGTTAGTTCAATGTCAGAAAAAAAAATGTAATGGTAAAAATAGGCTAGTTACGCTCTCTGCCTGTTCTACCAAGAAAAACACTAGGTAGGTATGGCAAAGGATGATGGGAAAAGCAGCATCTGGAATCTTCTGGGGTCTTCTCTGTAGATTCTCTGGAACGGATTCTCTCGTCACTCTCACGGCAGCCATCTTCTTCCCAAAAACAAGTAACTTCCCAAAGTGACTAAATAAATTGTATGAAAAGTTAGTTAGTAGTGGAGTGTGTGGTAAGTTATGGTCATTGGTTTACACAGTGTAATGACATAAGGGGATATGTATTATCCAGGGGTTTGAGTAAAAAAAAAAAAAAGAATGTATTCTAGTGGCGTAGTTGGCTAAAACGTCCATTAATTTGACCATGGTAAAAGGTCTACTGAAAGAACAAGGGTAGTTGTTTATACAGAGTCGGAAATGGAAGCCCACCGGCAGCTTCTCCTCTTCTTGTTGGTTGTCTCGTCGTCAAAACAGTCTGCCTCAGGCAAATCATGGTCATCGAAAGTCACAAATAAAACTGCAATTTTAACTGAATGTCTTATAAAAGGAGGGTCAACACAAGGTCTTTACAAAACAAATAAAAATGACAATATTTCAATGAGGTTTGGAGAGAAAAAAAATACATCTACAAAAAAATCTCATGACATGATATTAGTATTCAATAATGACAATAGAATAATGTTGAATGCATCCAGGATTCGATATCGTCATATTTCGAGCCAACTCAAGTAATTTGCAAATATCTTACTCTAAAAAGCATTTTCCCACTTTATTTCCTTATTTTTTTCATCATCCATTTTAGTACATCTCAACTCACCGTGCATTGTGGGGCAACACGTGATAATCGCATAGCTAGACGTGTGTTTTTGAATGAACAAATGGAACACATTTCAACAAGAGAAGTCTTGAGATAAACGAGGTTGAAAAGATACAACTAATTGTCAGTATGGGGAGGTTCAGACCTGGGTTCACATACTATTTGACATTACAAATACTTTATATGTACTTGATTGAACTCCTGAAACTGCAATCAAGGCAGGCTGGAGCAGGGCTGTTCTTGGAGGGCCAAAACACCCAGTTAATTATCTGGGACTGATTTAAGACCTGGGATACCAGGTAGAAGCAAAAAAACTGTAGTGTTTTTGCCTTTGAGGACCAGAATTGAACAGCCCTGGGCTAGAGAAAATGCTCAAAGTATTTGAACGACTTCAAATAGTATTTGAACCCAGGTCTGGTCAAGACAGGTTATGGTATGGCGAAAACTCACCTTTAGCTGGGCACATTCTACGTTACAGAGAGAACAGGTATGAGGAAAGATTCTGGGAGAAGCTGCGGAGTAATCACTCATCATGGTCGGGGTCGGCAACCTCTTCGGCATCATCATCATCATCATCATCGGCGGCGGGACATTCATCTGCTGGAACATAGACGGCGGTGGACCCATCCGGGGCGGCGGACCAGTCACCGGAACGTGACCGGGAGGGGGAACCGATGGATTCATGATGGGGAATAAGGGAGGCCACATGGGGGGTGGCGTGGGAGGAGGAACCCCGACTAGGTCACCTCCAACCCTGAGTCCTGGAACCCCGGTACCAACTCCTACTACTCCTCCAGCACCACTGAGAACCACCAGGTCGGACCGGGGCTGAGCCTGGCCCCGAGCAGTGCCTCGATTCTGTGATGCGAGGAGTCGGTCGAGTCCTTGGTCTCCGCCGTGGACAGGGATGTTCATAGGTTTGGGTGTTGCTTTAAATGAGTCGTGGGTTTTGAGGGTCTTTTGGGGTAGTCTGGAAGGCGGAGGAAGGCCGACACGAGCATCTGTGTCTTTCTCGGGGAGAGAGATGGGACTCTGGACGGCAGGGCCGTGAGTCTGCTGCTGTTGGGTACGTTGCTTGGAAAGGACTGAGGTCACGGAACCTCTAACACTGCTGTACGGCGTCCCGGTGTTCCCGCTTGGCGAGTCTCTGACTACGCCATATTTCAGCGCCTCTTTCGTGAGCGGATCTCGCCCGCCGTAACTATCGGATCGGATATCACCATTATCATAACCAACGTATTTAGTAGCACCAATATGTCCATAATCGATCACTTTGCTCTGTCCTCCACCTAAGTGGTCCAACCCTGGGCTGGGTCTGCCGCTAGCCTGGGGCCGATGGTCCACATCCATGGTTCTATTGGCCTTACGGATGCGGATGTCTCTGAGGATGAAGGGCAGGTTGTCTGGGGTCAGCTGATCATCTGGGTAGTGGCTCAGGAGCTTCAGGTCCTCGTTGGACAAGCCAAAACTCGCCAGGATGCTGCTGGCGGACTCTGACGTGTACCGGGCTGGACAAGGGGCGGCAGACGAGGCAGAGACGCTCATGAACGCCTCAGAACCCCTTGAGGTGGGTCCCAGCTCTCCCGCACCCCCAAACCCAGAAGTTTGGCTTTGGTACATCTGGGAGGGGGAAGGGGAGGACTGAGGGAGGGGGGAGGAGAAGAGTTTAGAGGAAGCAGACTGGGTCAAGTAGCCAGGCCAGGAGTCCATGGAGCTCTGCTGGCCGTTGGAGGACCGGCTAGGGGTGTAGCTACCCATCCCTCCCCTAGACAAGAGCTCGTCCCTGGGGTCACGACTCAGGCGAGGAATCCGGGCATCCAGTTGGATCTGCTGGTTCTGTTTCTGCTGCACCATCTGGCTGAGCAGCCTCACATCCTCTCTGGCCCAGCGGATGTGGTGGTCTATGGAGGTCTCCATCTCCGGGGTCATCCCGGCCGATCTCTGCCCCAGGTTGTACCCCATTTGCTGGGACACCATTGAGGACATCATGCCCCCCTGACTGGAAGAACCAGAGGAACCACCAGACCCAGGGCCCAGACCCAGGCGGGAGGCCACCAGAGGGTCCATTCCGGACTGGGCTTGTGTGAGTCCATAAGGCCCCATCTGGGCTGCCGTTCTCTGGGCTTGTGAAGAGTACTGACCCCCTAAGGGGTTATATAGGGGACGGTACATGTTATTGATGGTGGCTGCCGCTTTGAGGAGGTTGATGAGGAGAGCAAGAGGAGGATGGGGGTGAGGGGAGGGTAGTGGGGGGTTGGTGGCGGTGGCAACGTTTCTCGCAGCAACGAGCTGATTGATAGCGAGCTGTGCTTTGAACTGGGCCAGAAGCAGGGAGGTGTGGCCTAAGAGGAGCTGCGGGGGCGGGATCCCAACTCCCAGCCCTCTAATCAGACTCAGTGGGCTCGAAAGGGGAGCGGCACAACGCTCCAATAGCAACGCAAAGCTGAAAGAGTTGGAGAGGAGAAAGACACAAAGAGGAGGGTTACTGGTTGGTCTTCTCTATGGTTCGCCCTGGGACAGGGCTATAGACAGTAGTAATCAAACTGGAAAGCAGACTGGATTTCTGGGATTGATCGGTTTGGTCAGTTTCCAGTCTTTCCAGTCTGTTTCACACAAACACTTTCAAATCAGTTCCGATCCAGGTCAAACTGTTCTAGAACAGCATCGGGCTTCTGTTGGTTAGGTCTAGACAGAGCAGAGCAGAAGATTGTTCCTGCGTCTTCACTGAAAAAAATATATATATGCAAGCAAACAGGGGACAGACAGGAGGGGGAGAGGTGGTCATCGTAAAAACATACAATCTTACAAACTTAATGCACAGCTTTAGTGACATTTGCAAGATGGCGAGCAGCTTTTTAACAAAAGGTAGACATTAACTGATATTGAGTCATACTTAATATAATATATTATAATATACTATAATAGTGGCATCCACCAAAAGGAAAAGATAACCTAAGACAAACGGTTGATTCAGAAATGAAACAGGGCTTGTATCAGTTTACTAGTTTACTTAAATTAACAGTTAAGGATCCGTTTTAAGAGGGTTAGGTGTATGCTATTGATTATTGAATGAAGATGGAATCACATTTGAAAGGTTATGTGGATGCATAATCAATCAACGGTGTCGGTTATTTATAACATCTCATGGGACTTCCCAAGACAATGATTCGAACGTCGTATAGTCACTTGGGAGTCAGCTAAACCAATCCACGACTCCAAACCACACTAATACACTACTGACAATACTGACAAGATTATAACCTTAAAATGTTATTTCCAGCTACATTTTCAGTTAAAGTCATGGTGCAAAGCTTTGAGACATGAAAGCTGAACTTCAAACCTATTTAATAAAAATAAACTGTTTGAGGGAACCCATCACCCGCAGAGAAAGATAGTGGATAGAATAGTGGCCACTGGCCAGGAGCCAAGTAGGTGCAAGGAGAAACATTTACATTTAAATTTGAGTCATTTAGCAGACACTCTTATCCAGAGCGACTTACAGGAGCAATTAGGGTTAAGTGCCTTGCTCAAGGGCACATCGGCAGATTTTTCACCTAGTCGGCTCGGGGATTAGAACCAGCGACCTTTCGGTTACTGGCACAACGCTCTTAACCACTAAGCTACCTGCCGCCCAAAAAAACATACCCGAGCTTGCATTTTAAGCAGTCAACTACTGTGGTTGGCTTAGAATATAAATCATAATGTTCATCAAGCTTCATATCGGGGTATTCTATATTGATAGGTAGGCTGTAGAGTTTTCAGGAAGTATTTTTATTTAATTTTTTTACGCAGAGAGATGCATTGATGATAAAAGACCTGACCACATGGCATGCCCCAAACTACTGCATTTGACAAAACAAAAACAAGTCCAATACTGGCATAGCAATGTAAAAGGTTTATATAAATACATTTAGGCAGTTACACAATACTATATGTCAATACATTATTCTACAATGTTGCAGTGATCGTGAGTGGAACGAGGCATGATTTTAAAAAGCAACATCTTTCAGCAACAAACATTGTATTATTAATATTAAGCGTAGCACAATACATTACATTTACGTCATTTAGCAGACAGGTTAAGGGTTAAGTGCCTTGCTCAAGGGCACATCGACATATTTTTCACCTAGTTCACTCGGGGATTAGAACCAGCGACCTTCGGTTACTGGCACAACGCTCCTAACCACTAAGCTACCTACCGTCCCAATACTGGACTAACGTTACTCCTTATAGTCCAAGGACCGTGCATGTTCTGTTTAGAGGTGAATTGGCTCTGGAAGCCAAAAAGAGCCAAATACACCATCTAAAAGTGAATTGATTCTCAATTGCAGTACGGTTCTAGAAACATAAATCACTCTCCTTTTCATATCACATCAAAAATAAATTTCACTAATGCAAAAATAAACACTTGCTGTACACTGTTTTAACCGGCTTTATCACAGTTGTAGACGACAGTATTTTTCAGTGACAACACGTTTACACAGGTGTTCGGAGACGCAGATAGCTAGTTTGCACAGGTAGTCCACTCTGTCTGCCATCTGGGGCGGCAGGTAGCTTAGTGGTTAAGAGCATTGTGCCAGTAACCGAAAGGTCGCTGGTTCTAATCCCAGAGCCGACTAGGTGAAAAATCTGTTGATGTGCCCTTGAGCAAGGCACTTAACCCTAATTGCTCCTGTAAGTCGCTCTGGATAAGAGCGTCTGCTAAATGACTAATTTATTTATTTATCTGTTTTCCGTAAACATGCGCCGTAACATGGACATATGGCCGTGTGGGTACCTTAACCTTAACCCTATAAAAAAAGGTGTGTATCAATTTAACCTTTTATTTTTAGAAGAAAATAAAATCTTGCTGATATGAAAAGGTCCTTATATAGTTCCCAAACCGTACCGCAAGCGATGCGTGTTACAGGTTATTTCTGCACAATCCACAACAAAATGAATCCCGCTACACATTAGCAACATCTTCGGTTGTTTACTATTGGTACGCACAGCAAAACCAACTCACAAGTTGAAAAAAAAAAAAATATATATATATATATATACACGCATGCAACACACACTGCCACCTATTCCAGCAGATGAGCCGAAGCGGTGCGGTTTGCCTCCCAATGAAATGAACTTCTGCCCGGAACGCATACGGTTTTAAGCAACCGGTGTGGCACAAGGTGTCACGGAACACCAGAAGTACATTCAAGTACATTCATTTCCAATGGAACTTATAATAAATAATAATATGCCATTTAGCAGACGCTTTTATCCAAAGCGACTTACAGTCATGTGTGCATAAAAATTTTTTAACGTATGGGTGGTCCCGGGGATCGAACCCACTACCCTGGCGTTACGAGCGCCATGCTCTACCAATTAGCAGCATCGCGTTGCAGAGGCAGTTGCGGTGCGTTCTGTGTGGTGCATACGTTGGATTTACCCATCGTATGCATGCGTAGACTTAAAGAAACAGTAGTAAAAAAGGTCAATGTTGAATGTAAGGATTGCATAATGAAAAAAAGTTTGACTGCAGAATGTTTTATGCTGCATTGATGTCAGTCTGGTCAAGGCCTAATGGTCAGACAGTGTCGGTCGGGGCTCTTAACAAGAAAAGAAAACAACTCCCCCATACAGAAGTAGCCTTCCCCCAATGACATCAAATCAAATGTTATTTGTCACATGCGCCGAATACAACAGGTATGGTTAAAGTCCACCTTAGGTAGGGGTAAAGTGACTATGCATAGATAATAAACAGAGAGTAGCAGCAGCGTATGTGATGAGTAAAGGAATGTGAATGTATGCTGGTATGTGTGGCTTCAATATGCGTGTGTTTTGGAGTGTCAGTGTAGCGTGTGGTTTAGCTGTCTTATGGCTTGGTGGTAGAAGCTGTTCAGGAGCCTTTTGGTCCTTGACTTGGTGCATATGTTCTGCTTGCCATGCCAGAGCAGAGAGAACATGTGTCATGTAATGGAACAATAATAATAATATGCCATTTAGCAGACGCTTTTATCCAAAGCGACTTACAGTCATGCGTGCATACATTTTTTGTGTATGGGGTGGTCCCGGGGATCGAACCCACTACCCTGACGTTACAAGCGCCATGCTCTACCAACTGAGCTACAGAGGACCACATGAACAGTCATGATCAAGGGCTACATGAAGCGATACAACTGACGATTTCTATAACAGCCAGCATCGCATTAAATGGTGGAAAATATATAGAGAAATCCTTAGCTAATGTAAAGGCTGCGTTGGTTAAAACAAGCAGACTACAGCCATCGCTTACCTGCTAAAATGTCATGTTCACCTGGAAGCTAAAACGTTGGCTGGAGATTTTATTCTCTCCACAAAATCGATAAAAATAAATAAATAAAAAACCTGGAACTAAAAGTAGTGTCTCCTTTGAGAACGCCATATGTTTCTTGGGGAAAACAGCGGGTGGACTTGGTCGTCCTAGCCGACAGACGAAGATACAGTGTCAGGTCAGAGACGTTACCTAGCCAGCCTGCTGGGCTCCTCGTTTGGCCTAAGCTAGGGGACTGACCAACTAGCTATACAACTTGCAAAATGCCTTTTAAGTCCACAAAAATTCCGAGTCGATATCCATCCAAATTCATAAATATCAGAAAACTCTGCCAACATGAAAACTTAACTAACAGAAACGTAGTAACTAGTGCTAGTAGTAGCCACGTTTTCTACAGGCTGCCAAACAGTTAGCCAACTAGTATTGCTAGCCAAACAATCATGTGTACGCGATACATCCGGCCCTCATCCACAGATATGTAATGTATCATCCAGAAACCACAACATTGGTTGTTGGCTAGTCTGTGATAGCTTAGTTAGCTAACTAGCTACTTGGCCTTGCGTCTTCAACTTTCCGCAAACATCAGGCCGCCATTTTGGATTTCCTGTACCGTGTTGCATTAGCGCCGTATTCTACAGAGACCAAACCGACCGTTTCTACTTCCAGACAACGGTATTGTCCGTTTTAAATCAAAGATATGAACAACAAATCATCTCTTCTGTCCTGTGAAATAGATTTTTGTAACATACCTTCCGTTATTTTCGTTTGTTTTCTATGTAGATATCTCGTTGTTTACTGAACTTTCCTCTCTTCCGGCGGCTCCCGGACGCTTGACCAAAGATTCTTCTTCTTCTGTGTGTTTAATGGCGGACTACAACCCAAAAGGGTGTAATGCCGCCACCAACTGGACGGGTTGAAACCAAAACAAGGTTAAAATAAAATCCATACCTGATTGGGAAACTAACTTAATCCACCCAAATAAAAAATATTACATTGACAAAACAAAAACTCCCACTTCTTCCTTCAATTCTCCATATCTCCCTTCTCAGGCTCTATGGCCTGAGAGGGTGGTACGGCTTGTGACAATATTCCATGTAACTCCTTCGCAGATAAATCTTTCAGCCCCAGGAACCGCTCCGCCGCTTCCACAATG